CTCCCAGCCTGACACCCAAGACTGGCACAGGAGGTGTCAGGGCATAATGAGTGATAAAAGCTTCTTTTTATTATTAATTCGAAGAGCAACACCTGACCTCCATGAATTTTTTTTGAGATGTGCTCCAGCTACACCAATGCATGAAGGATGGGGTGGTAAAACCTTCCCCGAGGACAGCAGAGGTTCGCTTATGCTTGATGATGTATTTTAGAGAACTGAACCCATTAAAAATAGCATGAAGGGTTTTCCTGCCTTCCCAACAATGCGCTTGCTTTTCAAGTTGCTATAAAAACCCTGCAGATTTCCCCCAAGACCCGAGCTGGGTTACTCCTGGGTTACCCACCGCTATAATAAAAGCTGGTTTTTGGCTTAATCCATCCTGACCGCATCCCTTGCAGACGAGGTTTTGGTACCCCGCGGTGGCAGTGTGAAAGAGAAAGACGGAGTGAAGGCAGAATGGGGCAAAGTTACTGGTGGAGGTGATGGGGCAGGCAGGTGGGCTTTAGGTTCTTCCCTAAACCACTGGGGTGTTTCCAGAATTCACTTTTCCTAAAAAAAAAAAAAAAAAAGAAACAGTTTAACCACTTGATGGATAAAAGTGGGTCCAGGGATAGTGCAGACTTCTTTGGATCATCATGGTCTTAAATCACAGCTCCTCACCTGCAGGGAAGGGCTGGGGACCTCTCACCAAACATCCTACACATGCTTTAGCTGATCTCCAACCCTTCAAAAAAATTTCTTTCCCCATTTACCCCCTCCCAAAAGTTTCTCCCCCCATCCTGGTGGCGATGGGAACAGGCTCTTGGGACAGCACAGGTAGGTCCCCTCTCATCGCCTCCTCTCTGCTCCTTGCAGGCTGCTCCAGGCAGATCGGCTTCTCCTTCGCGAAGCCCAAGCTCTGCGCTTTCTCTGGTCTCTACTATTGCGACAGCTGCCACCGGGATGATGAGACGGTGATTCCCTCGCGCCTCATCCACAATTGGGATCTGACAAAACGAGGAGTAAGTCCAGGCTCGGTTGGTGCAGGGAGCAGGAAAATGCTCCTGCATCTGCCTACGCTTCCTGAAGGTCCATCTGAATGTTTCCACCATCAGCAGAGGTGGAGATGTCCACACTACACCTCCCTCCAAGCCTCCTGGGCTGCTCCTCAGTGCATGCCTGCCTCTTGCCTCTCTCTGCCCCAGGTTTGCTGGCAGGCTTTGAAGTTCCTCACCCAGATCCGTAACCAGCCACTGATTGATCTGAAGCTCGTCAATGAGAGCCTCTACGACCACGTGGAGAGGATGGGACGGATCCGCCGGAGGAGGGAACAGCTGAAGCTGCTGGGAGATTATCTCATCATGTGCCGCAGTGGGGCCCTGAAGGAGCTGAGCAAGCGGTGAGGTCCCTCTGTGGGTGACATTACCCCTGCATCCCCCTGTTTGCACCCCAATGGTCTCCTGGTCCTCCTCATCGCTCACTGTTGGAGCGGGGAGCGATGCTGCCGAGGCATGGGCTGGTTTTTAGCTCCATGTCCTCTGCTATAAGGAGTTTACCCATCTGTTGGCTGGGTCGACACATTGAGATGTGACTCAGGAAACACCTTCCTGACTGAGGAGCTTCTGGCTGGACAGGAAACACCTGGGAAAATAGATGAGAGATTTATTTTCTTTTTCCCTGCTTTGAAATGCTTTCACGCGATTTCCAATGGCAGGATTTGGGATGTGTGGCACAATGCGAAAATCAGTCTGCAGTGATTTTCTTCAAGAGTCTGCATCATCCAAGCTCCCCCTTGCTCCAAAGCCGTTGAAGATGTGGTGGAAACCATCTACCATCTTCTTCTCTGTGCTTCTTTGCAGGCTTGATCATAGGCACTACCTCTTGGAGTGTTCCCACAAATACAGTGTCGCTGATCTGAGGCAGGTGAGAGCTTTTTGCATGGTCATAGGGGTTTTGGTGGTGAAAGCATCCCAGTTTCTGTCGAGCACGGCACTTCATCATCATCAGTAGAAGGTTTCAAATAGCTTTTGCCTCGCTCTTATCCATCATATGCACTCTGCAAGCTTGCACATCAGCTTAAAGGCAAATAACTGCTTTTATTTTAATTTGCCAAAATAATTGGCACAATCCTGTATCTTCCGAGAACTATGGAGATCACATAAGATAAACTGCTTCGCCTCTATTTAAGCCAGCATTGCTGCTAGTGCATCTCCATGCAAACTTGTATCTATTGCAAATAATGGAGGTGATGGGTAGTTGGATTTCACTTTGACTCCAAAGCCAGGAGCCCCATCCTGGCAGGTTGTGGGTGCTGCTGTGAGCTCTCTGGGGTCCTGTTGCGACCCAGGCATGTGTGGTTTTGGGTTGTTTTTGGAGGACAGCCTTGTCTTCACATAGCAGCTCAAAGAATGGGTGTATAGTGTGGATTTGCACAGTGCAAACAGGGTGGGAGACAGGCTCCATGCCTGCCTGACCTATCTCTGCCCCTCAGATAGCCGACGGCGTCTTTGAGACCTTCCTGCAGTCTCTCCTCCAGTTTGCTTCCCATCACGTCTACAACTGCGACCTGTGCACCCAGCGCGGCTTCATCTGCCAGATCTGCAACAGCAGCGACATCATTTTTCCGTTTGAATTTGACACTACCACCAGGTAAGCGACGTCTCTGTCACGTCCCACTGCTGCGAGGCCACCCAAGCTTATGGCCTGGCTTTTCCCAGGAGCCTGGACCATCCCCTGGGTCCCTCTCAGGGACTCTCCGCTCTCTAGGCACATAGCCCTGGGGTGGCCTGGTAATAGCTCTGAGCTGGTTGTGCATCCTCATGGTACCCATCAGCCCCAAGATGATCCGAACCAAAACTGGGTTGTTTGGGGCAGGAGAGGACCATCCTCACAGAGCTGAGATGTCACCAAGCGAGGTGGCTTAGCAGATTGAACATGCAGAGCCAGCCAGCACCTTGCTGTCAGCCTGCAAAAGCCTCGCTGGGTGCTGGGTCCCAGGGCAACAGAGAGGCTGGGGGGAGGAGGAGGATAATGAAGGTGCTGTGTGCCCCTGCCTCGCTCACCTAGCCAACACATCTCCCATTCAAATTCAGTCTGGCTCCTTCCAGGGGTTGCAGGAGGGAAGGAAAAGCAGCAGTGGGACTGTTCATACACCCCTCTACAACCAAGGAGGGGGAGGAAGGACACACAGACACGGATTTGGAGATAAATAGTGGGCAGCCCTGTGGGATGTGCTGGGGATGTTCCCAGCAGGACAGGAGGGACACTGGCTTTCATCTGGGTTTTTTCTCCTGCCTGCGGAGCTCGCATCCTTTGCAGGCAGGGTCCTTGCCTGCAGTGGGGTCGACTGCTGCACAGGGTTCAGCAGCTGAGCAGATGTTGAAATCGGGTGGGTGTGTTAGAAGGGGAGTGTTTATCCCCAGCATCAAGGTTTTCTAAAGAAATCAGTATCAAAACATTCCAGCCCAGGAGCGTGGTCCATCCATCGTAGGTGGAGAGAGATCTACATCTCAGTGGTTATTTGGCAATGAGTATAATCCTGGCAGAGAACTTTAACAGGCTGATGGTCTGCATGATATCACTTTGCCTGGCAGTCCCTAAAAGTGAGCAGCAACATCCAGAACCTGCAGAAAATGCCAACAAAACCAGGATCCTTGGGTACCCCGTGTGTTACATGGTTGCAAATATTTCCAGGGTGGCTGAGCTGGATTGCTCACTCACCTTCCTTGCCACAGGGGCAGCCATCATGCTTGTTATCGAGGACGACATCCCCAGGGGACGGATTTTCCCTAGAAAAAGAGCATACGGGCTCTGGAAAGAGCAAGTACACAGGGCTGAGCTCTGCTGGCAGCCAGCCGGAGGTCTCATGTCTTGTAAAGCCGGGCTCTGGAGTTTGTTGACCTCTTTTTTTTTTTTTTCTTCCTGGCGGAGGAGGTTGTGCAGCAGGAAAGCAGCTCAACCAACATCCTCGCCAAGCTAAACCCGGCTTCCTGCCCCTCTGCCTGCCCTGGGGGACAGCCAGCTGCTGGGGTCACACCGTCACTCGCTGCAGGATGCGTCTGAAACGCCTCCTAACAATAAACCCAGCCGAGCACGGGACATTCTCCTTTTCACAGCAGCGGTGGCCGCTTCCTGCAGCCGTTGCTCTGTCAGGTGGAGGCAGGAGATGCCGCCTTTTGGCTGCTGCTTGCTCAGAAACATGCAGGGTAAAAAAACAAGCCCCTGGTTTTGCAAATCCCCCTGTGCTCAGGGAGGAGCTGCCACCACTGCTAATCCCGAGAAGCCGCGTGAAAATATATTCCGCTGGGAAAATGCACAGTGCCAGGCAGCAACCCCCCATCCTGTCTATCCATGCATGAGCCTTTTCCGTATCTTGAGTAACTCGGGGTTTGCGGCCGCCTGTCAGGAGCAAGAGTTGACCCAGCGTGCGATATGTCATGGTCCCTTGCCTGGCATGCTGCTGGGCGTTTCTCTGCTCCCCTCTCCACTCGTCCTTTGGGAAATTAAGGTATTCAGTGGTATTCACACATCGATTGTGCACCAGGTATTTGCACTTGAGAGCATTTAAAAAATAATCTAGCTGACCCGCTGGCATGTGGATGGGCTGCATTTTGCTGCTACTGGCGAGGTGGGAGATCATGACCGGGAAAAAGTGAGCTCAGCCTTTGTAGCACGGACTTTTCTGTTGACTCAAGATAATTAGTGAACGCCCCTCGCAGAGCTGGGTGTCTCCTCCCTGCTGCCCCGCGCAAGGTATCATTTGTGGCTGTTTACATTCCTGCTGCGGCGCTGAGCCAGAGCAGGGAGGTCCCAGGCGGGTGCTGGTGAGACCTCCCTGGAGCTGGACGGCTCAAAGGCAACGCCATCCCCTGGCTGCCTGTCCCCTTCCTTGTGGCTCTGATGTCCCCAAGCAGCGTCTCTGCTATGTGCGGGTCCCGCAGTCAGGGTTGGGGGTCTCCTGGCTGAACCCCAGCCTGGCAAGCAGAGGGTCCGAGCTCTGGCACTGAGCTGCATCCTGTCCCCACCGGTGTTGCAACCCCAGACGGGCTCTCGCCGCCCTGCACCATCACAGGGTTTGGCGTCTCAGCCTTGAAACTTTGCTCTTGTGCTGTCACTGCTCCGAAAGCAAGGTGCAAACCTCACTCAACATCTCCCTCTTTCATCTGCAAAAAAATGTCGGTGTGCTGGCAGCTGCTTGCAACACTCTTTCCGGGCGAGCTGCTGCTTTTGCTTTCAGCTTGCTGGAGGTGGATCTTTTACTGGAGTAGTTACTGCTCCTGCTAGCAAGGTTCATCTTGAGCCAGAGCTGGCTCTCGCTGGGGTCAGGGCTCTTTGCTCAGCAAGTGCTCGGAGGAAGCAGAGGCAAGGATGTGTCCCCAGGTCTGGTTTGGTGGGGAGAAGTTCAGTCTTTGCTCTAATGTTACCAACAGGGTGGGTTTTTCGTTTTTTTTTTTTCCCGGCTTGGTTTCTCCTAGGTGCAGCGAATGCAAAACCGTCTTCCACCGGGACTGCCAAGCCAGTGCCAAGTCGTGCCCCCGCTGTGAGCGCCGGCAGAGGTACCAGCGACAACTGGAGGCGGAGGCCAGCATGGAGCTAAGCCTTTAGCATCCAGGGATCGACCTCGACGCTGCCTTTGGCTTCTCATCCAGCCGGACTAGTGCTGAGGGGACGGGGCGGTCGGGAGGTGCAAAGAAGAGACCGCCCCCCCTCCTGCCCAGGAGTTGATGCTGTGCCTGGCCCTTCCCTGGGGACAGGGAGCTGGTGGTGCTGGGTGATGTGGTGTGGGTGCTTCTGCCCCACGGAGGGACCCTCTGCCCACCCAGGGCTGAGCAAGGGAGGCTGGAAAGGTCTGTCCCCCCACTCACACTAAGCCAGTGCTGCTCGGGGATGCTCCCAGTCGCCCTCCTGGTGCCAACTTGGTATGTCCCCTCCTGGTGGAAACCCAGCAGCTTTCCAGGGTGTAAATCAGGATTTCCAATCAAGGGTGTGGATAACTGACATTGATTAAAGCTCTAGTTTTTTAGGAAGTTCGATACTGAAAAACCAGTATTTTTTTATGTGGGGGTTTTGCACAAGCTGGCCTGCGCCAGGAGGTGACAGCAGCCACGCGGGAGGGGACAAAGTGACACTTGTGCCTTTAGGGACCTGCGCGTCCCCGGGGGACCACGGGTGCCAGCCGAGCATCTCCCGCTCGGAGAGCCCGTCCTTCACCGTGGCCTCTGGGAAGAGAGGGGAGAGAAGAGCTGGGCTGCTCCTTTCAGCCTGCTGCTTTTAATCCTCGGAAGAAATTTTATTTTCCTTTCACCTGTCCCCATGCAAAAATAATAAAAGTTTATTTAATGACAAGCGGAACTGTCTTTGGGGTTTGCTTCTCCGCAGCGGGTGCCAAATCACAGGTGCCAACCTGACGCTGCGTCTCCGTGGGAGGAGGGTTGGGGACAGGGATGCTACCTGTCCTCCATCTTACCTGCCTGTCCTCCATCCTCCTGGCCCATCCTCCGGGGTTTTGCAGGGTGGTTGGGGGACCCTTCCCCATTCTCCCTGCCCCATTTTCCTTCCCATCTGCTCCCCACTGGTGTTGGCATCTCCAGTTCTTTTCCCTACCATCCCGCTCCCGGTGCCGGGAGGGTTTGGGGTGCACCCACCAGCACAGGGACCCCAGTGGGACTCCCCGGGGGGGGGAAGGCACAAAAGCCAGGGAAGCCACGCTCCCGTGGGACCCCCCTAATGGGGGTCCCATCCCCCTGCCCTGGGGAGGCCATGCCGGATCCGGCAGCGACACAGATCCCGGCTCAGCCGCGGGGCAGGGCCCTTCCTGCGGCAGGAACCTCCCGAGGAGCCGTTTCCTCGGCCGGGCGGCAGCGGGTCCCCTCCGCCATCGTCCCTTCCCTCCCACCCCGAGGGGAGGAAACAGGCCGGGTGCCCACCGCCCCTCTCCTCTGGCCGGGGGGCCAGGCACCCAACGCCAGCGTGGAGCCCGGCCCCGTCTTTCGTCGAAGCGCCGGCAGGAAACCGGGGCGAGTCGGGACCAGCCCGGCACAGGCGCGAGCGGGACCCGCTGCCGCGTGCCCCGCCGCCCCCGCTTGCACCCCGACACTGGCTGGAGGTGAGATTTTGGGGGGTCTTGGGGTTCGGTGGCTTTGGGGGTTTGGGGAGGGTGGGCGAGGACGGTGGTGGTGACCCCGGGGCTGTTCCAGGCGGGTTTGGGTGGTTTGTGGAACGGCCGCCTGGGGCCGGGGCTCAGCGGGGACCCCCCAGTTTGGTTCCCCCGGGGTCACTGCGCACCCCAAGAGGGGTTGGGAGCCGCCGTCAGCCCCTTCCCCGACCCGTCTCCCACAGGCGGAGGTGCCAGGGCGGCCATGGAGGCGGCAGTGCCGGCGGAGGAGGCATTGGTGCTGGTGGAATACGGCTTCGAGTACCGAGCCAAGGACGGGACCTTGGTCTCCATCAAGCCTAACGAGCGCTACGTCCTGCTGAAACGAACCAACCACCACTGGTGGCATGTCAAGAGGAGCGGGGACACCCGGCCCTTCTACATCCCTGCCCAGTATGTGAAGGAGCTGCCCCCCATTGCTACCCCGGCCCCGCTCGACCCCCCACCGCCGGGGCACGCCGGGACGGATCCAGCCACGCTCACCCCCCAGCAGCCGCCAGCCTACGAGTATCGGTTCGTCGGCGCCACCGAGATGGAGGAGCCGGCCGGAGGATGCTCGGTGCCCAGGAGGGACTCGGTGCCCAGGAGGGACTCGCCGCCGGTGCTCAGCTCTTTTCGGGTCTCCCCGGGGCTGACCCCCCACCCCACCGAGCCCGTTCGACCCTCACACTCCCTGGATGACCTGGCACGGGTGACGCTGACACCGCGCGGTGCCACCGCCACGGGGTCGCGTGGGCCCCCCCCGGGACACACTCGCCCGCTCGGCAAGAGCCGCTCCGAGACCCTCTACGCCGCCGGCAAGGACAGGGACACGGCCAGGGGGTGGCCAGGATCTGGCCACGCAGCTCAGGTACAGTGACATCCCCGGTCCTGTCCCCAAAAGCAGCGCACGGAGGGGGAGTTTGGGGGGGGGGGACAGGACGCCTGGGTCCCTTGGCTGATTCAAAGCCCCGTGTGTGTGTCCCGGTATGAGCCTGTGACCCCCAGCACAGGGTGGGGTGGCACCCAGGGGCTTCCCGGCACCACTGCCACTGCCAGGACCCCCCACATCCCCCACTGAACTGACCCCATGGGGCAAACCTGTGGGCCAACCGCCCCCACACAGGTTTGCCAGCAATTACCGCCTCGGGGTGGGGGGGGTGAGCGACCCCCACCCCAGGCACCCACCCCAAGCACCTTCTGTGTTCAGCCCCCTGCCCCATGCTGTGCCTCAGTTTCCCCACGCTTGTGATCACCCCTGGGCTCTCTCAGCCCCCCTGCAGCAGTGTCCCACCAGGGTGCAAAGCCCAGCGATGCCCGGGGTGGGGGGGCTCGGTGCCATCCAAGGGTCTTTGGGGCTTCCCACACCCCATCCCGGCAGCATTCCCAGGGTGAGAGGAGACAGAAAGGGGTTAACAGGGAAGCGCAGCAACTCCTCCCTGCTGGGGCGGGTGTCTCACCTGGGCGCAGCACCCAGTGCCGGAGGTGGGTGCTGGCTGCACCCCAGCTAAGGCGGGCGCCCCGTCACCCCAAAACCCACGCTCGCCCCAAGCCAGTAAGTAGCCCCGGGGCTCCCCGCTGCACCCCTCTTGCAGGGGGCACCCAAGGGTGGGGGGTGCCCCCCCAGCCCCTCTCCTCCTGCCGACACAGGCTGGGGCGCAGCGGGCTGAGATGGTGACAGCAGAGGGGGGGGTGGCCCCCGTCCCTGTCCGTCCCCCCCCCACTCCAGCACCTCTCTTTGGGGTAACTCCAGGCACCCGCAGCACCCCCAGCCCCGGGGTCCCCTGCTTTGAGGGGGGCTCGAGGTGTTGTGCCACCCAGGGGGGGTGTTTTGGTGGAGAAAAGGGGGTGTTGGTGGTGGAGGGCCGTGTTTTACACTCCATTTTACACCCTGCGACCCCAGCTGTGCCGGATTAAACCCCAGAGCTCTTTGCACACCCAAAGCCACTGATCCCCCCCTTTGGAGGGACCCAGCGTGGTCCCCAACCCCGGTGCCATCACCGGAGCTTTCCCCTTCCCCTGCCTAAACCCAACCGGTGCCAAAACCAACCGGTGTCGGCAGCGGTGGGGCTGCGGCGGCCTCGGCCCGGCCGCCATGTGCATCTACCACCTCGGCAGCCGGGACGGGGCGATCCCGGTGTCGGGGGGACGCAGCACCCCCCAGCTCGTCCCCGTGCCGTTGCCGGTGGAGCGGCACGATGCCGGATGGGCCAACCTAAATTTGGGGGGAGTTTCCCCACTTAGCGCCAGTCGCATCCCCGGCACGGCATCATCCCGGTGCAATTCCCGCTCGGTTGGCCTTGGCTTTACCGGAGTGGATGACGGGCGATGGGTGGCGGTTGACGGGGTGACAACAACCCCAAAAAAAGTCAATTCCGCCCCGAGACCAAGCGTCGGGCTCGGAGGCGGCTCTTCCGCTCCCCGAACCCCAGCAGGAAGCGCGGCCGGCGCGGGGCCCAGCACAGGGCGCCGTCGGCATCGCCGGAGCCTCCCGGTACCCCCACCGGTGCCCACCGAGATGGGTGACCGGGTGTCGGGTGCTCTGCAGCGGTCCTGTAGCAGGGTGTCGCAGCTGCTGCATTTGGGGAAGGTAGGCAGCACCCATGGGTGCACCCAGCTGGGAGGGGGTGGGGGGGTGGTGTTGTGGGGTCACCCCCCCACTTCCAAGCTCCCTCCTGAATTTCCCCCAAGTGTTTACGCTGCGGAGGTGGCATCGGGCACCAGTGGGTGCCAAGATGCCCATCCTGAAGCGGCGAGGGGCACCCAATCATGTGTCCCCCCCCACCGGGGGAGAAAACCCCCCAGGGTTGCACCCATGGGAAGGAGGGAGGTGCTGGAGGGGCTCCATGCCGGGGGTCCCCCCTGGTCACCCCCATGTCCCTTGTCCCCACCCAAGATGAAGGTGGCCTCTCGCCCTGGGTTTCCGGCCCTGCTCGCCGCAGTAGGGGGGTCACAGGGTGGCGGGGAGTGGGGGGGTGGGTGGACTGTCCCTGGGGACACTCAGTCCGCTGTCCCCCTCTGTTCCAGGGTGCCCCCAGGGACAGTCCACCCCCCCCCAACCCCCACCCCAGGGTGACGGGCAGGGCTGGGGTTGGGAAACTTTGTCCCCGCCGCCGTTGGAGGTTGGAGGGTGGCTCAGGGGCTGTAAAGCTGGGGAGATCAAAGGGTGCCAGGAGGACATTCCCCGCCGGCAGCCACCCGCCCGCAGCCACCTGGTCCCAGGGGACACGTCCCCCCTCCACCCCGAGCAGCCCCACGGAGTGGGGAGAGCTGGGCAGCAGCGCCAGGGGTGTTCGGGGCCTTATTTTGGGATGTGGTGATGGGGCTGACGGTCCCAGCAGCCGGCTCTGCTCGCCAGTGGGGTCAGGGTGCTGGGGTGAGTGGCAGGGCTGTGGGTGCTGGTGGTCTGGGTGCTGGTGGTCTGGGTGCTGGTGGTCTGGGTGCTGGTGATGTGCACGTTGGAGGTGTCCCAGGGTGCTGGTGTTGAGGGTGCTGGTATGAGTGGTGTGGGTGCAAGTGCTGGGGTGCTGATGCCGATGATGTGGGTGCAGATCCCGGGGGTGCAGGCACAGCGGGTGACGTGGGTACGGAAGATGCCAGCGCTGACACCGGAGACCACGATGCCCCAAGCCCAAACTCTCTCCACATGCTCAGGCCGGACTCCCATCCCCACTGCCAGCTGGGTGCTCCCTGCCCCAATGTGGGTGCTACGGGTGCCCTCCTCCACCACCCGGCCATCTACATCCCATCGCTCGCAGCTCCTGCCCCATGTGAGCGGGTGTCTCAGGGTAGTGCCTGCTGGGTGCCCGGGCAGGAGGGATGCCCCAGCAGCCGGGGCAGGGCAGGATCCAGCTCCTCAGCCCTCTCACCCATTCACCAGCCTGGGTACCATGGCAGCGATATCCCAGGAACGCCATTCCCAGCAGCCCTGCCCATCTCACGGCACCCATCGCCAACCGCAGCACCCGAGTGACCCATCTGTGTCCTCCCCAGGCACGCAAGGAGCCGGAGGAGCCACCTGCCCCCATCTACCTCAACATCCAGGAACTGCGGGAAGAAGCCGCAGCCACCAGCTCGGCCCCGGAGGAGGCCGGCAGCTCCGTGTCGGATTGGGAAACCCACACGGATACAGACAGTGGACACTTGTTTTATTATAACCCGGTGACGGGTGAGACCACGTGGGATTGTCCCTTTGGGCAGGCAGAAGATGGAGTGAGTCCTGTCGCCTCTCCCGCCTCCTCGCTTCCCCACAGCCCGGAGTTTCCCGAGTGGGAACAGTACATGGACGAAGCCAGCGGACAGGCTTTTTTCTATAATTCGGTAACAGGTGAGACGTCGTGGGACCCTCCCCACACGGGAGACGGAGGCAGCTCCCAGGATATGTACCCTGGGGTGACGCGGTACGGTCCCATGGAGCAGAGGGTGAGCACCCAGTGAGGCGCAGGGGTGATGAGGATGGGGACGGGGATGGAGATGGAAACGGAGACGGAGACGGAGATGGAGATGGAGGCAGAGATGGGGATGGAAACAAGAGATGGACACAGAGACAGAGATGGGGGGGGGGAGGGAAGTGGAGATAGGGATGGGGATGGAAATGGAGATGGACATGGAGATAGGGATGGGGATGGAGATGGAGACAGAGACGGAGATGGAGATGAAGATGAAGACACAGACGGAATGGAGACAGAGATGGGGATGGGGATGGAGATGGAGATGATGGAGTTGGGGCGGCCCCCACCTGGGCTGGCCACAGTTTGGGAATGCGGATGCTCTTGGTGGGGCACAAGATCTTGATGTGGCTCTTCTCTCCAGCCTCCCACTCCAGAAACGGACTATCCTGACCTGTCTCCAGATGAGCTGGAGGGTTATCCTGAGGAGGACTACTCACCCGTGGGCTCCTATGATCAGGGGGCCGCTCTCTGTCTGTCCCCGAGGCGCCCCGAGGAGCTGGGCTCGCCCCCGGGCTGGTACGGGCACAGCCACCCCGAGGGAGCCGTGTTCTACCCCGAGCACTTCACTTCTGACACGGTACGGGGATGGGGACAGGGTCAGGGATGGGGACAGGGATAGCAATGGGGATGGGGACATGGATGGGGACACAGATCGGGATAGGGACAGTGATAAGGATGGGAACAAGCTTGGCGATGAGGATAGGGACAGCAATGGGGACAGGTATAGGGACAGGGATTTCTGGCAGGGGATGAGCATCCTCGTGGAGCCACAAAAGCAGCAGACAGGGACAGTGGGTGTGAAGCCCAGCACCCTTCTGGCATGGCACCTTGGGCATCACCCGCTCCCTCCCTCCCTCCCTCCCCAGGTGCCGGTGGGTGGCCACCATGACCGGGCCAGCAGTGGCTCCAGCCAGGACAGTGGGCTCTTTGCCTGGCACAGCACCGTGCCGCCGGTGTTGGGGCTCAAGGAGGAGAAGGTGAGCACCCTGGGGAGGGGCAGCCAGCCCTTCCCCAACCCCGGCACCAGGAAAGGCAGGGGGCAAGCCTGACACCCCCTCCCTGCTTTGTCTTCCAGTTTAAAAGCCTCGAAAAAGCCGGAGTGCTCAACCGGACCAAGACAGTGGACAGAGGGAAGCGGCTCCGGTAAGCACATCCCAGTGTCCCCCACCACCGGAGAAGGGAGCGCCAGGGGGGCGGAGGGGACAAGGGCTGTACTGTCCCCCTGGGTGACCCCTCCTCTGCTCCCCAGGAAGAACTGGAGCTCCTCCTGGACGGTGCTGGAGGGGGGGATCCTCACCTTCTTCAAGGACTCCAAGCACTCGGCTGCTGGTGCCTTGGTAAGAGCCCCAATGGCCTCGGTGGGGGGCCAGCACCCATGGGATGGGACCAGCACTCATGAGATGGGACCAGCACTCACTGCATGGGACCAGCACCCATGAGGTGGGGCCAGCACCTATGGGACAAGGCCAGCACCTTTAGGATGGGGCCAGCACCCACTGGATAGGACCAGCACCCATGGGATGAGACCAGCACACATCGAATGAGGCTAGCACCCATGGGACAGGGTCAGCACTCAGGGGACAGGGCAAGGACTCACAGGATGGGATCAGCACCTGCAGGATGGAGCCAGGACCCATGGAATGGGTCCAACACCCATGGGATGGAGCCAGGACCCCACACAAGGACCCCTCCCAGCCCTGGGCTGGGTTGCCGCACGCCGGCGGGGGTGCGCTCACACCTCTGCTCTCACACGCTGGGCCAGAGCTGGTGTCAGGGCATCTTAATGAGTGCACAAGGCTCGTTAGGGTGAGCGAGGAGGAAGCGGTGCCTGACCCAGCCCCCCCACCCCCCCGCTCCCCGGCACCCAGCACCCACCGCCCGGATGCAGAAGCTGCCGTGGCTTTTGCAACACCCTGCGGTGACAGTGGCAGGGGAAGGAGAGGGGATGGACCCACACCATCGGAGGGGGGGACGTGGTGCTGGCCCCACCGCCGGGACCTGGGTGCAGGGCTCTGTCTGGGGGGGTCCTTCTGGAAAACAGGGATGGGGAGGGGCTGGATGGAGGGGGAGCGTGGCCAAAGCACCCCGAAACCCACGGCATGGGGAGAGCGAGAGGGTCTGATGCTCTTCCCTTATGAAAACCCCAAGGGACTGTCCCATCCCTGGGGACAGCCACCCAGACTCCTTTCGCCATGTAATGCTCCTCCCGCATGGTGCTGTCACTGAGCGGGACCCTAATGCTGAAGACCCCCGGGGTCCCTGGGCAGGGCTGGGGATGTCCCATGAGGTGATGATGGCTGTAGGGCCCGGCTGTCCCCAAACTGGTGGCCACGACACCCACGCTGCTGCAGCAGCACCACATCCTGGCCCTGCAGCGAGACCCCGGTGCCATGGGAGGGGACAGAGATGTCCCACAGGGGACATTTGCCACTCCTGCCTTTCTGGAGGAGGAAAGCCCGCAGCCCCCCCTGCAGAGCAGGACCCCAGTGTCCCCGTCCCCTCTGGGTGGGTGCCACCCTCGTCCCCTTGCTCCTGCAGCGGCACCCCAGCACCCTGACCACCCCCGAGCACACGGTGGAGCTGCGTGGGGCCACCCTCGCCTGGGCCGGCAAGGACAAGTCCAGCAAGAAGCATGTCCTGGAGGTGAGACGGGTGACAGCGGGGGGGACATCGGTCACCTGGCAGGGTCCACGTGTGGCCCATGAGGTGGTGGCGATGCCAGCACCCACCTGGTTCATCTCACCAGTGGTGAAGGGGATGTGCTGGGGTTGGTGGTGGTGGGGACATCCTCCGATGTCCCCAGGCTGGGAGCAAAGGGACGTGCTGCACTGCCGGCCACCGTCCCTTTCCTATAGGCAAGGAGATGTCACCAAGGGATGTCCCCACTCCCAGAGGGGTTTTTCCACTCGGGCTTTGCATGGGGAGGAGGTTTCCAGCCACCGTGGCTCACTGGCAAATGGCAACAGTGGGGGTCATCAGTGTAATGAGTTGGGCGCTGTTCTCAGCCACAACCTGGCCCCCAAAGCCAGGTGCTTGCAGCCAAATGCGGGCAGCCCCGTGGCCCTGCCCTGACTGCTGCCTGCTGCTCCTGCAGCTGAAGACACGGGAGGGCTCAGAATTCCTCATCCAGCACGACTCGGAGCAGATCATCACCGCCTGGCAGAAGGCGATCGCTGACAGCATCGGCAGGCTGGTGAGCAGGTGCCCGCCGACCCCCGCCCTGCCACCCTCGGGATGGGCACAGGGGTCTCACGCTGCCCCTTCCCTAGGGCACCGGCCTCCCCGACGAGGAGGATGCCGAAAGCGGGGCTGAATTCGGCTCCCGAGAGAAGCTGGGGGGAAGCGAGGAGAAGAGGGCAGGTGAGCTCGGGCATCCTGGCATAGGGACAGGCACTGGGGTGGCACCGGCAAAACCATCCACCGGGCAGGGTGGGATGGCCACCCCGCGGTGTCCCCAGCTCCTCGTGGTGGTGGGACGTGCCAGGAGCCCCCCAGTCCCTCAGGACAATGCTGATGTGTGCCCTGTCCCCACCAGTAGCCGGGCAGCCGATGGGCAGTGCCAGTGGTGAGAACGACTCCAGCAAAGTCCGGAACAAACTCCGCAAGTTCCTGCAGAGGCGGCCGACGCTGCAGTCCCTGCGCGAGAGGGGCTACATCAAAGGTGGGTGTCAGGGTTCGGGCTACATCAAGGGTGGGTGCTCAGGGTGGAGCTGAGCCCCCTCAGGGTGTCCCCAAGCTGGAAGGTGGGTGGGAACAGCCAAGGATAGAGCTGGGGTAGAGGGTTGGGGGGACCAAGACCAACTCCAACCTGACGTCTTGGTGATGGGCTTGGGCATGTCCCATCACCGCCAGCCACCCCAGTGTCACACCTGTATGGGAACAGGACGGACCATGATGTCCCCAACCCTGTCCCCCACCCCAGACCCACCACCAGGCATCCTTTCGGTGTCACCCAGCTATGCTCAAGTGCCCATTGGTTTTTCCAGATCAGGTTTTCGGCTGCTCCCTGCAAGCGCTGTGCGAGCGGGAGCGGGGGACGGTGCCCCGCTTTGTCCTGCAGTGCATCCAGACCGTGGAGAGGAGAGGTACCGCCCTGGGGCTCGGGGACAGGGACAACCCCAGGGGCACTGGGATGGGGACAGCTCTGGGTAAAGCCTAAATTTGATGGTTGGATTTTCCCTGGAATCCCGGTGCTGGCTGCTGCAGGCAACCAGCATGACCATACCAGACACTGTCACTGTGTGCCACCCGGCTGTGGGCATCTTCCAGGGGACAGTGGGGACATGTGGGTACCCAGAGCTCCCTTGATGGTGGCTGGTGTCACATCCCAGGGCGGGTTGTGGTTAACCAGGAGCTTTCCCCCCCCCATCTCCACCACCGTCCTCTGCCAGGTCTGGACATCGATGGGCTGTACCGGGTCAGCGGCAACCTGGCCACCATCCAGAAACTGCGCTACAAAGTGGAGCACGGTAAGGTCACCCCATGGTGACAACGGGGGGCAAATGGGATATACCCCCCCTGCCCAAGGTCAGGGTGATGGGGTACCAGCCAAGGAGGGAAGGGACGGGGACCCTCACCGGTCCCTGGGGCTCTGGGACCTGCCTGAGGTGCTGTCCTGGCCCCGCAGACGAGCACCTGGACCTGGATGATGGGCGCTGGGAGGACATCCACGTTGTCACTGGGGCGCTGAAGCTCTTTTTCCGGGAGCTGCCGGAGCCACTCGTCCCCTTCAGTCACTTCGACAAGTTCATCGCTGCCATCAGTAAGGCCCGGGGACAGGGATGGGGATGGGATGGGAATGGGGATGGGAACAGAGATGGGGATGGGGACGGGGACGGATGCTCCGGCTGCCGGAGCCAGCACCCCACCGTGTCTTCCCTCCCCTTGCAGAGATGCAGGACCCGACCAGGCGGGGCCGGTGCGTCCGTGACCTGGTGTTCTCCCTCCCGCCTGCCCACCACGACACCATGAAGGTCCTCTTCCACCACCTCTGCAGGTGACACCTAGCTCGCTCCCCCCCAAACCCAAGCCAGTGGCAGGAAGGGGGACAGGACCTGGGTTTGGGGGCATTCCAGGTGACAGCATCCCTTGTCCCCGCAGGGTTATCGAGTACAAGGAGGAGAACCGCATGTCGGTGCAGAGCATCGCCATCGTCTTCGGCCCCACGTTGCTGCGGCCGGCGAGCGAGGAGGGGAACATGGCCATGCACATGGTCTTCCAGAACCAGGTGGTGGAGCACATCCTCAATCAGTACAGCTACATCTTCCCCGACGGCTAAAACGCCCTAGGGACACTCGTGGGGACAAGCCCAGCAGTGGGGACATGAAGGAGCAGCATCTCAGTGGAAGGACTTGGCCGTGTGTCACCTCAGATGATGGGTGGTGGCAATCGCGGGCTCGATGAAGGGCAGCGCGGTGGCCCGGCTCGCTCGGGATGCGGCTTGAGGGATGGGTGTCAGAGCTGGGGGCACCCTGAGCACCCTGTCCTCCTCTGCCACCCACTGGGGCCGGATCCGCTGGACGTTGAGCCCCAGGGGGTGTGTGGGGTTTGAGGGGGTCCCCATCGGTTAAGAGGGGACGATCGACGCCTGGTGGTCCCCAGCTTGCTGGGGCCAGCGGCACAGACCCGGCATCCCCGGGATAAGGGGATGGAGGTGCCCAGCCGGGCAGTGCCCGCAGGGACGGTGCCACCAGCAGGGAGGACAGGGAGAAGTCCAGCTGTGCCATGGCCGGAGCCGGTATCCGGCACGAGCCCGCCGCCGTATTCCCAAATAAAGAGCCCGTTCAGCCGCGAGGACGAGGCGTTGCTGGCGGGGCACAGGGATATCCCCAGGGACACTGGTGGCACAGCGGGAGCTGGGTGCCCCTTGGCTCCTGGTGACCCTTGGGACAAGATGTGCCCTTTGTACCCCACGAGGACGAGGGGACCTCGGCACCCCCAGAGGGGCGAGATTGCAGGGCACCATGGTGACTGTGTCCCCTCTGCTTTGGGACACCTTTCCCGGCTGGCATCGCCAAACCCCATGTCATCCTGAGTGTCACTGCAGGCAGCAGGGACGGGTGCTGAGAGATACCGTGGGGAGCGGGTGCCAGTGGGATGTGAGCTCCTGTCACCCAGAGTCACCTCTCTGGGGTGGGGACACTTTGGGTCATGATGGAGATGATTTGGGACACAACCAGGACAGTATGGGACACAAAAGGGACAGTAAGGGACACAACTGAAATGCTTTGGGACGTAACGGGGACGCTAAAGGGCACAGCAGTGACACGAGGAGGATGCTTTGGGACATGGTGGTGACACTTTGGGACACAATGGGAACAGGAGGATGGCTGGGTTACAGAGGGGACACTTTGGGATGCAACGGGGACACTTGGGGACACGACAAGGGCACTTTGGGGTGCGGTGAGGGTACTTTGGGATGTAATGGGGACACTTTGGGACACAAGGGGACACGAGGGGTCATGACGGAGTTCCTTTGGGATGCAGTGGGGACACTTTGGGGCACAAGGGGATGCTTCAAGGGTGCAGCAGGAGCCCTTTGGGACACGAGGGGACAGGACAGGGACCCTTTGGGATGCAGTGGGGAGATTTGGGGCACAAGGGGGGACAAGGGGCACCTTGGACGACGAGGGGATGCTCCGAGGGTGTGCGGCAGGGGCACTTTGGGACACTTTGGGATGCAGCGGGGACACTTTGGGATGCAGCGGGGACATTTTGGGGCCCAAGGTGATACTTTGGGACAGGAGGGGATGCTTCAGGGCTGCGGCGGTGGTTCTTCGGGACACGACGGGGAC